CTGGAGTGCAGTGGTGTGATCATGGCTCCCTGCAGCCTCCACCCCCTGGGCTCAAGCTATCCCCCCGCTTCAGCTGGGACCAGAGGCACGCGCCACCACTGGGTTCGGTTAATTTTTTCTTTATTTTGTAAAGATGGCATCTCGCTATGTTACCCAGGCTGGTCCCAAACTCTTGGGCTCAAGTGATCTTCCCGCCTCAACCTACCAAATTGCTGAGATTATAGGTGTGAGTCACCGTACCCTGCCTCAGTTACCTCTTGATCACTACCCTCTTCTCTTCTCCCTGCCCTTAACATAAAAACAGCCTAAAATTTGTACTGACTTAAGATGGTGCTTCGGAACAAGAGTCCACCATCTTCTTGGTTTGCTGTCTCTTGGAATAAACCTGCTTTTCCTTCCACCAGTTCTCGTCTCTCTTGTTTTCCTTTCAAATATCAAGCCACTGAGCTTGGGTTCGGTTACATCGAATGTGTATCCATTTTTTCTCTAAGACCAATATGGAGCATGTTCCAAATCGGTCCACTTCTCTCATCCCTCCCTCCCATCTCCCTCCAGGTCACATCCCCTCTGCAGATTCCCTGCTGCCCCTCTGGCTCCCCCTACTGTCCATGTGCCATTCAGCTGCCAGAGAGCTCTTTTTTTTCTTTTTCTTTTCTTTTTTTTCTTTTTTTCTTTTTTTTTTAAGAGATGGGGCCTCACTGTTGTCTAGGCTGGCCTCAAACTCCTGGCCTCAAGCGATCTTCCCGCCTCCGCCTCCCAAAGCATTGGCATTACAGGTGTGAGCCACTGCCCCCGGCCCAGAGGGAGCTTTCAAAACTCCAAGTCAGATCATGTTCCTTCACAAGTGCTCAAGTGGCATCTCCTGGTACTTGGAGTAAAAGCCAAGCACCTCTGTCTAGTCACAGAGTCAACTATTAGCACAGTGCCTGACACAAGCAGGTGCCGAAGCCAAAAGAGAGACTGGCCTTTCGTGGCTCCTGGTAGGAATCCCTTCTAAGCCCTCAAGATGTGAGAAAAGTAAGTAAATAAAATAACACAGGGACAGAAGACCATATACCACACGTTCTCACTTATAAATGGGAGCTAAATGAGAAAACATGGACAAAGAGAGGGGAACAGCAGACACTGGGACCTGTCGGAAGGCGGAGGGTGGGAGGAGGGAGAGGATCAGGAAAAATAACTAATGGATACTAGGCTTAATACCTGAGTAATGAAATAAATAATCTGTGCAAGGAACCCCCCATGATACATGTCTACCTGCGTAACAAGCCTGCACTTGTACCCCTGAACTTAAAACAAAAGTTAAAAAAAATGTAAAAATAAAATAATTTAAAAAAAAATTTTTTTTTCAAGATGGAGTCTCATTTTGTTTCCCTGGCTGGAGTGCAGTGGCGCGATCTTGGCTCATTGCAGCCTCTGCCTCCCAGGTTCAAACAATTCTCCTGCCTCAGCCTTCCCAGTGGCTGGGATTACAGGTGCGCACCACCACTCCCGGCTAATTTTTTGTATTTGTAGTAGACATGCGGTTTCACCATGTTGGTCAGGCTAGTCTCAATCTCCTGACCTCAAATGATCTGCCTGCCTCGGTCTCCCAAAGTGCTGGAATTACAGGCAGGAGCCACTGTGCCCCGCCTAAATAAATAAAATTTAAAAAAAAATTTTATATAGGAATCCCACTCTCTTGCACCTAACCCCAGCCACCTAGACTCACAGGAAAGATCTGGAACTGAGTCCGAGATGGGTATTCTGCTGCCCGGAAGTCAGGGCCCATGGTGGAATCAGCTCCTTCTTCATCCTCCCTGGTTGCCTTGGTCTCCGGGGTCCCCAGCTCAGTTCCACTGTCAGGGTCCAAGCTCCCCTGAGAACATTAGGACAGACCAAAGTTTTCCCTGACCTCCTTATTGTCTACCACCCCCCAAACCCCTGAGGTCTTCCCTCTTCCAGCCCCATCCAACCTCTAGGATTGTGGCATTGGGCCCAGTAGTCACAGTGGAGACGACGGCCAAAGGCGTAGGGGTCGGAGGCAGATTTGGAGCTGGAGTCTCTGTCTTGGGGATGTCAGTGGAGGTCTGGAGCGGGGATGGAGGGAGCTTTGGGTCTCAGGTCAGGGCAATCAAGACAAAAGGGAGGCACCCTCCCACTGTCCCCAGGAGCTCCCAGTTTGGGGCCAGGACAGAGGAGGCTCCCCAAAGAGCACCGGAGGCCAGTGGAGACAAAAGTGTGCTGGCTGGACCAGGGCTTCCAGCAGAGGGAGCCATTGTGGATGGAGGAGGCGCTGAGCCAGCCTGGCCCTGGAACCCAGAGGTCAAGGTCAAGGTCCAACATTCAGGGCCAGGCTCCCGGAAGCCTAGCCCACATGTCCTCTCCCAAGGCAGAGTTCAGCGGCCAGTCAGCCAGGCCACAGTCAGAGAGGGAGTGGCGGCTCCTTCTAGCCTGCACAGCTGCAGAGGAACTGGGTCAAGGCAGGGCTTGGGGGGTGTGGGAAGAGGGTGGTGGGGCCCCAGGTGAGGGGACAAGGCTGAGGAAGGGGCTGAAGAGGGGCCCACTACTCCTGGTGTCTGTATTCTTGGCCAAGAAGATCTGGAACTGAGATGTAGTGCAACCAGTGACTCCCCCACCAGCCAAAGACCCCAAGCAATGACCCCCACCAAGGACCCCCCAACCCAGTGACCCACCAAGAATGACTTACATCAACAGACCCCAATGATTCTAGAACCAGTGACTCACAAACAACCCCTCCCACTGGCATCACTGGCCTCAACCTGTTACTGTTCCATTCAGTGATTTTCCCAACCAGTGACCTCAACGAGTGACATTCTCTTGACTATTAGCACTAACTAGTGACTCTCCAACTAATAACCCCCATCAGTGACCCTTAATCAATTATTCCTCTAACCAGTGATGCTCCAACAATGAATACCCATAAATGAGCCCAACAAAAGTGTCCTAACCAATGACCCCCAAACAGTAATTCCACCTATCAATGACTTCCTAACTAATAATCCCCTTAGGGACTCCCAAATCAGTTACCCCATCTGCGACCCCCTGAAATCACTCTTCCAACTTGTGGCCCCAATGAGTGATGCCACTATGACTTCCAGTCAGTGACCATCCACCAACAACCCCCCAGTCATTGACCCTAAACTGGGGACATCGGTGGCACCAATAATGGTTTCTATCAATGACCTTCCACAGTGATCCCAGCTAGATGCACCCCAAACACTGATCTCAGTTAATATCTCCTCGATGATTCCCCCCTATCCAGCAATCCCTATCAGGGAAGCCAAATAATGCCCCCAATTAATGACTCTCCCAATGAATAACCGTCCCCAATGACCCCAAGAAGGGAACCCCAAACAATGACACACTAACTAATGAACACATCATTCAACCCAGCCAATGATCCCCCTTAAACAGTAGCCCTCATCAAGAACCCGCTTAAAATCAGGAGCTTATCTGGGTCTGCCCCCTCCCTCTAGTGCCCCAGGACTGGAGATTGAGGGGGTCAGAGATGGGAGAGCTTGTAAGATGGGACCCACTCCCACCCTGTCATCAGTCACCCTGACAGTCATCAGTCAGCTGAGAGAAGTCAGAGCTCATGGATCAGAGACCAGAGAAAAAGATCATAGATGAGGGACCAGAGATTAGTAGGGATGGGAGACTAGAAGTCAAGCACCAAGACCAGAAGTCAGATGGTCAAGGCCGGAAGTCAGGTGGTCTCAGGGCTCTTACCTGGTTCTCTGGGGAGTCAGGAGGTGGACTTGAGGTCAAAATTTCCTTGTTCTTCTTTTTCCTGCCCTTCCCCTTGCGACCTCGCCCTTTCTTCCTCCCTTTTCCCTTCCCCTTCCGCTGAGGACGAGGGGTCTCTGGTTCACCCTGGGGAGCCTGGGAGGAGGGTCCCAGTCAGGTCCAGAGCATCCCACCAGCAGAGACCCCATCCTTCAGGTCACCTGGGGTGAGGCTGGCTCATGGTCCATTGTGTCCTCACTCAGCCCTGTGACCTGGAGTTGATGTTATTCATGTAACCTGGGGTCAAGGGTGGCTCAGGAATATGACTTGAGGTCAAAGTCATTCACACCTGGGATGTGTTTGAGGTCATGGGTCACTTAACCCTCTGTCTGGGGGATGAGAATTCACTCTTTCCAGGGATCTGGAGCCAGGAAGGACCCAGCCTGTGTCCTGAGATTAGGAGTCATGGAGCCCCTCACTCACCCCTGTGGCTGCCGGTACCAGGTTGTCGCAGTCGGGGAGGTACCGCTCGCAAGCCTGGAAGGCAGCCTGAGGATCTGGGCTTATCAGCAGCTCCTGAATGTCTCCCTAGCGGGTGGGGGGTATAGGAGTCAAGGAAGGCAGCCATACAGCCACAGGCTTACTCTGACCCCTCATCCCCCAGAAGTCCTACCCACCTCCTGGTACCAGGGTGTGATGGTCTCCCATCCAGAGCACACTACGTATAAGGAGGAGGTGACCCCATGACAGCCCTAGTGATTCCTCTACCCCCTAACTAAGACAAGGAAAGATCCTATCGGGGGCACACCCGATCTCAACCACAAGCCACATCCCATCCCACACATCTGCCCCACTAGGGGTGCATCAGTTCCTTCATGAGTTCATGTGATTCTCAGCCTCCCGAGTAGCTGAGATTACAGGCATGTGCCACCACACCCAGCTAATTTTTGAAGTTTTAGTAGAGACAAGGTTTTGCCATGCTGGCCAGGCTGGTCTCGAACTCCTGGCCTCAAGTGATCCACCCGCCTTGGCCTCCCAAAGTGCTGGGATGAGCACTTTGGGTGCTCATACTTACAGGTATGAGCCACCGTGCCCTGCCAACACCATAAATTGTGACGATGCCTACTTGGCTTGTTGTGGGAAGATCCAGTATTAGGGATAAGGAGGAACATGAGGTAGATCAGGTCCTGGCCTCCCAGAGGTGACACACATCACGGTCACACACAGTTAACAAAGGTCTCCACACCCAGAACACACATCACACTGCCACACAACACAGCTGCTTGCTGGCTCCCAAAGTTATAACTGCCCCTATACAATCACACACTATCACAGCAACCAGCACCATCTCAGGTCACAGTCTGAGACACACAACACCACCAGATCTTTCCACAACAAGCCCAGTAGGCGCTGTCACAATTTATGGTCTTGTGGCTCTGCAATCTCACAGTCACGCACTGCAACGGCACACACAAGCATGCACTAGCACAACCGGATCTTCCTACAACAAGTCAAGTAGGCCTCGTCACGACTTATGGTGTTGGCCGGGCGCGGTGGGTCATACCTGTAATCCCAGCACTTTGGGAGGCCAAGGTGGATGGATCACTTGAGGCCAGGAGTTCAGGACCAGCCTGGCCAACATGGCAAAACCTTGTCTCTACTAAAAATTCAAAGATTAGCTGAGCGTGGTGGTGCACATCTGTAATCTCAGCTACTTGGGAGGCTGAGAATTGCTTGAACCCGTGAGGTGGAGGTTGCAGTGAGCTGAGATGGAGCCACTGCACTCCAGCCTGGGCGACAGAGCGAGACTCCACCTCAAAAAAAATAAAAATTAATTTAAAAAAAAAAAAAATTATGGTCTTGTGGCTCTGCAATTTCACAATTCCACGCTGCAACGGTATGTGAAAGCATGCACTTGCTTCCCTCAGCTTCCTGGGGATAGACTGAAGCTTGACATCTTCCTTCTTTAATATCCTCTCCAGATTCAGGCTGTAGACAAAACATCCAACCCACTGCCTCAGTTTCCCCCGTCACTGAACTCCTACCTCGAAAGTCTTCTCCCCAAGGTCCTGGGTCCCCAGCACAGTGAGTCCAGCTATGCTGATGAAGCGAGGGCCATGGCCCAAGACAGGCGGCTGGGCTTCACAGTCAGCTACCAGGGTCACCGTCTCACCATCTATGCTGACCGCCACACGGTGCCACCTGCAAGGGGACGGCCTCCGTGTGGGTGCTTCTCACCCCACCCCTCATCCACGGACCCCTGCCCACTCTCCCCATGCTCACCTGCCATCTGTGAGGTTGACCTGCTGGGGGAGGGGGCGGAAGGGATCACCTAGGAGACCCAGCGCTGGCCCCAGTGCCAGGCCCAACTGCCGGGCACCCCTTTCATCATAAATGGACAGCAGGACAGACTGATTGGCTGGCTGGCCCCGCAAGGTGATCAGCAAGGAGAAGTTCTCAGGGAAGTGGCCATCTGGGTGGGCAGAGGGAACAGGGCAGCTCAGATGGCCCAGCAGTGCCTCTCTCCAGGGAGGTACCCAGGCCTCCTACTCCAGCTCACCTGGAAAGAGTTCCCGCGTGGGGATGCCGAGTGTGCTGGCCTGGCCCACTCTGAACGCCCGGTCACCCTCTGGAGTCCTCTGGGGACAGAAGCCAGGCCCCTCGGGGACCCCAGCCTGTCCTCCCCGCACACCCAGGGCCTTCAGGACATCCACAGGATCTGCAGCAGAGAGAAGCCGTTGGGGGGCAGAGGTGGGGAACAGCTAGAACAAGCCCAGGACTCCAGGACAGAGGCTCAGGGTTTTTTTTGGGGGGGGCTCAGCCTCTCCCTCCCTCACACCATGTGTTTGTGGCTCAGGAAGAAGGAGCAGGCCTGGGCCCCCAGCACCCCCCGCCTCCTCATCACCCCACAGATGTTCCGACCTCAGCAGCCTGTTGACTCTGTTTTTATTTCCCCTTGGTTTTTGGTGAGAAAAAAAGTTGACCTAGTTCTGGGATGAATCAAAGCTTCCTGGCCTGAGCCCCAGAGTGGAACTGTCCCCCTCTCCCCACTCCCCCGCACAGGCTCCCTAGGGCTACATCCCAGGCCTGGAGCCCCCTTGCCAGAGGAAACCCATGTGGAGAGGAGGGGCTTCTAGTGTGTTTTCTTCCCCCACCTCCTCCCTCTCTCTAACCTCCTCCTTTGACCACTGTCACCCACAACCTCTTCCTTTTGACTACAGCCATTTTGGAGCTCCTCCCTCTGACCACTCTGCCTCTGACCATGCCCACTAACTTCTTTTTCCAGTTACCCCCTCTGGCCCTCTGATTTTCTTCTGCCTGACCCGTCTATTCCCTCTGATCTCCTTTTTCTGCCTGACCCCAACGTCCGCCTTCTGACTTTCCCCTCTGACCTCCTCCCTCTGACTTTTCCCTCTGACCTCCTCCCTCTGACTTTCCCCTCCAACCTCCTGTCGTTTGATTTTCCCCTCTGACCTCCTCCCTCTGACTTTCCCCTCTGACCTCCTCCCTCTGACTTTCCCCTTTGACCTCTTCCCTCTGACTTTCCCCTGTAACCTCCTCCCTCTGACCATCCCCTCTGACCTCCTCCCTCTGACCCTCCTCTCTGACCTCCACCCTCGGACTTTCCCCTCTGACCTCCTCCCTCTGAATGTCCCCTCTGATCTCCTCTCCTCTGACATTCCCCTCTGACCTCCTTCCTGTGACTGTCCCCTTTGACCTCTTCCCTCTGACTTTCCCCTCTAATCTCCTCCCTTTGACCCTCTCCTCCAACCTCCTCCCTCTGAGCCTCCCCTCTGATCTCTCCTCTGACTTTCCCCTCTGACCTCCTCCCTCTGACTTTCCCTTCTGATCTCCTCCCTCTGACTTTCCCCTCTGACCTCCACCCTCTGACTTTCCTCTCCAACCTCCTGTCGTTTGATTTTCCCCTCTGACCTCCTCCCTCTGACATTCCCTTCTGATCTCCTCCCTCTGACTTTCCCCTCTGACCTCCACCCTCTGACAACCCCCGACCTTCTCCCACTGCCTATCCTGATCTCCTCCACCTGACCCATGACCTCCTCGTTTCATCTCTCTGACCTTCTTCTTCTGATCAGCTGTCTCCAATAACCTCCAGACCTCCCCTGTCTGACCCTGTCCCTCTTTCATCCCAGCTAAGGAAAGGACTTGTCTGGCCCAACAGTTCCTAATCTAGGCCACGCTACCAGCCCCACCCCGAAAAGCAGCCCAGCCAGTGCTAAGTGGAACCACATGGCTTGGGCAGGGGCGGGTGGGGGCTTCCCTTGGGCCCCGAGCCCCCTGTCTGGTTTCCCCCTCCCCCTACACTCAGCAAATTGTCCCACTGACCCCCTGCCCCAGCCTCTTGGCAGGAGCTAGATTCTCCCGAATCTGCCATGACCTCACCCCTGGGGGCGGCTCTGCTGATCTCACCACAGGGAGCTGGGGCGGGGGGGTAAGACGTTGGGGAGGCAGGGGCTTGGATGAAGGACCCCGATTCCCACTCTTCCTAGGTGAGAGCCCTCATTTTCCAGACTCCTCAGAGGCCTGTGTCAGCCTCTGTTTCCTCTTGCCTCCAATCTCCTTCTCTCCGCATCCCTGCCCGCCCTCTCTCTGTCCCACTTTCTGTGCTGGGTCTTTCCAGGCCTCTATCTGTGTCCAAGTCTCTCTCTCTCTCTCTCATTCTCTCATTCTCTCTCTCTCTTTTTTCAATCTCTCTCCACTCGCCTTCCCCAACCCATCACCCCAGCCCCCATCTCTAATTGCCTGTTTTGTGGCTGGGCTGTTATTAAGAGAAATCTGGGTTGCAGTCCCCTGGGGCTGAGATCTGGGCTCCCAGGCTCTGCTGACCACAAGAGTCACTTCCCCACGGAACAATCATCCCAGCTGCCCCATCTCAGGCTGGGGCCCAGGGGAGGATTGAGATCAACGACCTCACCCAGCCTGGAGGCTCTCCCCTGACCTGCACACTAACCTCTCTGCAGAGGAAAGAGGGTCTCTCCTCAACTACCACTCATTTACAGTAAGAAAGTCCTTCCCAGCATCCAACTAAAAGATATCCTGCTTGAAACTTGTGTCCCTTCTGGAATGACCTTTCAGAAACTGACTGCCCTTTCTTTTCATAGCTGGCATTATGACAAAAAGTCACATAAGCGGCATTGAGTCCTGCCTACGGGGACAGAGGGTGGGGGGTCTGTCAGGGACCCAACTTGCCTCCTGCCACTCTCCCCTGTGCTGGTCAGGGCCCCCAGGGGGATCTTGGCTGGGGTCTGGGATGTGAAGGGACAGAGGCAGGGGCTGAGTCAGGGCATGGCTGGGAATCCCCCAGGTGTGCGGTGTGTGTGCAAATATGTGTATGTGCATGAGATTGTACAAGCGTGGGTGAGTCTGAATGAGCCAGGCAGAGAATAGCTGGGCATGTCATTTCTCCGGGTGTCAATGTGTGCAAATATTTTGCTTCTAATGGAGGGATTAGGTGCAGTTACTTGACGCGTAGCCATGTAACGCTTGCAGCGAGCTTGCAGGTGTGTCTGTGACTGTAACACCTCAGACTTCTGGTGGGGGAGTGCCGTTCTGTGTGAGAGTGTGACCCAGCCAGAGAGTGGGTGATGGGTTGTGAATGTTGACAGCGTTTGTTCGGATGTCAGGGGCAGCGTGTGTGAGAAACTGAGCGCGTGGGAGGGTCATAAAAGCTGGAACCATTTGGCGGGTGACTGGAGAGGGTTGCCTGGACACGGTGTTTCACATTCCTCGAGTCCCAGGGGACTTATACTCAGCGTGGATGCCTGAGATTGCATGACCGTGTGGATGTGTGAGCGTGGGAATGCGGAATGGTCCAATCAGGGATTAACCATATGGACAGGCACCTTCCTGGACTCCAAAGTAAGAAGTGTGCTGTAGGGGTGTGTGTGTGTGTGTGTGTGTGTGTGTGTGTGTGTTGGGAGACTGAGCTCACCTTAGAAAGGGATTTCCAGGAGGGCCTAGTCTGAGGTCTCTCAGATCAGGGAAGCCCCAGGGAGCCACGCCATCCCCTGACTCCCGGAGCGCCCCCTACTCCGAACCCTGCGGGGCGGGACAGGGCGCCCAGCCAGATGCGCGCAGCTGGGCGTGCGTCAGCGCTGACTCACCCATCCGGCGGCCCCCGGGACCCCTTGGGGGCCCCTGAGAAATTCCTCGGAAAAAACACCCAAGGCTCCAGCAGCTGGGGTGGGAGGGGGGGAGCAACTTCCACTCCCGCCCCGCCCTGCGCCCCGCCCCGCCTCGCCCCTCACCGTGGCCCTCCCCGAGGCCCTGTCCATGGTGCTGATCGCGGCTCTGGGGACCGCGGGGTGGGGGAGGGGGCGACAGGGAGGGAGGGGAGGAGACGGGCACTCGCCAATTTGGGGCAGAGGAGGGAAAGGGAGAATGGGGTGAAGCCATTTAAAGAGACGCAAAAGAAACTGTGGGTTCCCGAAGAGCCCCCCCATACTCGTCCCCACTCACCTTCATCCTCATGGGCAATTATTTGCACCCAAAAATCACAACTACACCCCTCATAGGGGCACTCAGAGACACACAGTCACACGCATAACCACACACACGGTTACCCTCGAAAATCAGCACATAGACAAACGCACAAGTGCATACTCACCTGTCGCAATACACACCCTCCCAGCACTGCCCTGTCACTCACAGTCACACTATCGCCATCAACCTCCACATGCAAGCACACATGCAATTTCACTCCAAATGCACAGACATGCTACACACACGCACACACCTGCACACTGCATGCATTCCCACGCGCTCGCCAGAAAACGCAGTCACACATCCCTACCCCTACCCCCGAACAGTCACACACCCACAAATCACCCAGAGTCGGACACTCATGCGCCCACATCACACCGGGACCCCACGCAGCGCTCACGTCCTCCCCCTCCACGCCCCTCCATGCCTCGCTCTTTTAGGCCCTCTCTGAGTCGTGGACCCTGGGTCCCATCTCTTCCCTCCCGGCTCACCGGCCTGCGTCCCCGGCAGAAGCTGCAGCGCCGCCAGGAGCAGGCAGAGACCGGCCCGCGGCTGGCCCAGGCCCTGGCGGTTCCCCATCCTGGCGGGGCCCACGGGCAAGGCGGGGGACCAGTCGGGGCGGTTGCCGGGCGCGGCGACTCCTCGGGCTCGGTGCAGTCACTCGCGGCGCCCGCTCCTCTCGGGGTCCGCGGGAAACTGCCCGAGACCCCGCCCTGGCCTCGCCCTGCGCTCCAGCGCCTGGCCAGGCGGGGCTCCTTGGAGGGGGAGCGCTGACAGCTGGACTGGGAAGTTGGGAAACTTTGTGCTGAGCGCTGATTGGCCGGCTGGTGTGGAGCCGAGCGCCAGGAGTTGGGTTGTTCCTGCCCCACCCCACAGTGGAGGAGAAGGGTCACTCCCACCCAGTCCTGGAGTTCGAGGGTTCCAGCCCTACCCCAAACCTTTTCGGCCTAGCAGATCCCCTCAAAGGAGAGCTTAGCCTCATTCAAACCTTCAGCCTCCATCCAGGCCCTGGAAAAGGGGGAGGTGCAGGTTTATACCAAATCTTTTTTTTATTTTCTTTTATTTTTACATTTTATTTTGGAGACAGGGTCTTGATCTGTCACCCAAGCTGGAGTGCAGTGGCCCAATCATAGCTCACTGCAGCTTCCAACTCCTGGGTTCAAGCCATCCGCCTGCTTCAGCCTCCTAAGAAGCAGGTACCACATGCACATACTGCCACACCTAGCTAATTTAAATATATATATATTTTTGTAGAGACCAGGGTCTTGCTTGCTGCCCAGGTCGGTCTTGAACTTCTGGTTTCAAGTGATCCTTCGGCCTTGCCCTCCCAAAGCGCTGGCATTACAGGCATGAGCCACCTCACCTGGCACCAAGTCCTTTCTGCCTCACTCAGGCCCCCAAGTGGGGTCCCAATCTCACCCCAAACTCTCATTCACCTACCTGCTTTATCCTCAGTCCCTTAGCTAGACAATAGGAGGTACCAGCCTCAGCCCCAGAGCCTTTCCTTCAGGTCCCTAAGGGGTCCTGATCCCACCTCAAACCTCACCCCAGATCCCAAAATGGGGTCCCCAGTCTTACTCCAAACATTTATCTCTCCACTGAAATCCCTGAGTCACGTGTCCTGGTCCCAGATTCTCACCACAGATCCCAAAACACAGTTTTCACTTTCCCCCAAATTATTGATTCCTCAAATAAAGGGTCTTATCTCCATCCCTAACCCTCATCTCCCCCCACCCCAAACCAGGTCTCCAGTGGATGCCCTGGCCCCAATCCCAAATCCCCACCAAATGGGGGAGTCTGAGCTGGGTGCGGTGGCTCACGCCTGTAGTCCCAGCACTTTTGAGAGGCTGAGGCGGGCAGATCGCTTGAGTCCAGGGGTTAGAGGCCAGCTGGCTAACATGGCGAAACCCCATCTCTGCTAAAAATACAAAAACTAGCCAGGCAATGTGGCTGGCCTCTGTAGTCCCAGCTACTTGGGAGGCTGAGGTGGGAGGATCACTTGAACCAGGGAGGTGGAGGTTGCAGTGAGCTAAGGTTGTGCCACTGCACTCCAGCCTGGGCAACAGAGCAAGACTCTATCTGTCTCAGAAAAAAAAAAAAAAAAAAGGTCCGGGGGTGGTGGGAAATCTGTCCCTGTTGCAAAGCAATGCACTGTCATGGGGAGGAAAGGGTGGATTCTTGCCATTCTTGGGATGAGGCAGAGGCCCCCCTCACCGTGCTGGGACCCCCACCTCCAGCATGAAGAGGCCCCCAGGAGGTCAAATAGAGCTTTTATGCAATTGGACAAGCGCAGACACGCAGGATGTGAGGGTGCTTCCCGAGGGAGGGGAGGAACCAAGAGGCGTATCCTGAGCCCTGAACTGCTCCCCGAACCCTGCTTCCCCCACCCCCGCCCCAGGGGAAGAGGGAGACGCAAGCAGTGCCTTCCTCCCAGTCTCTGACTCCCCAGACAAAGAGTCTCTGTGTCCCTGAAGAGGAGGGGGTGGGGCCCCATCAGGCCTGAGGGGGAGACGGGGCCCCCCAGGGTGGGAGGAGGAGAGGGAATCTCTGCAAGCTGCGCCTCCCCCCACCCCAGGGACATCTGAAGCTGAGACTTCTCCAACTAAAAGGCTCTCACAAAATTCCTGCCTGCCCTGCCTTGCTGGAAGTTCTTCCTGTAGTCTAACTACATCTTCTGACAGTTCTACACCCCTTCCCTCTGTGAAACAACATTTCTGGATCCACATTCTCTGTCTCCTTCTCTCACTCTCTCCCTTCAATCAGAGATTCTTCACCCAGAATACAGACACTAATTCCCCCCAACTTTCACAGAAACTCTCCCCAGCCCTAAATAATTTATACTCGGCTGGGCTCAGTGGCTCACGCTTGGAATCCCAGCACTTTGGGAGGCTAAGGCCGCTGGACCACTTGAGGTCAGGAGTTCAAGACCAGCCTGACCAACATGGAGAAACCTCATCTCTACTAAAAATACAAAAATCAACTCCGTGTGGTGGCACACACCTGTAGTCCCAGCTACTTGGGAGGCTGAGATAGGAGAATCGCTTGACCCTGGAAAACGGAGGTTGTAGTGAGCCGAGATTGTACCACTGCACTCCAGCCTGGGTGACAAGAGCAAGGCTCTGTCTCAAAATAATAATAATAATAATAATTTACACTCATAATAAAAATTAAAAATTAAGAAAACAGTTACAAATGTCCAAGGCAGGAGGATCGCTTGAGGCCAAGAGTTGGAGACCAGTCTGGGCAACAGAGCAAGGTCCCATGTCTAAAAACAAAGTAAATTTAAAAATTAGCTGGGTATGGTAGTGTGTGCTGGTAGCCCCAGCTACTCTGGAGGCTGAGGTGGAAGGATCGCTTGAGGCTGCGGTGAGCTACGGTGGTGCCACTGCACTGCAGCCTGAGTGACAGAGCAAGAAGTTGTCTCTTAAAAACAAACAAACAAAAACCAGTGATGTGTATAGTAGGTGTGGAGAAGAAATTTTTCGCAGATGAAGAAAATGAGGTGCAGAGAGGATTTAAGAAATTCTCTCTTACTGCCTGTTCAGGGTCAGTCCAGAATTGAGGGTCTCCTGGCCAGGGCGGAGGCTTTGCCCTGCAGGGGATCTGTGGGAGGGGGTTAGGAGGGAGCAGACGAGCCCAGGATGAATGGTCAGAGTCAGGTGCTGCCCGGCGGAGGTCACGCGTCCAGGGAGGGGATCAACATGGCCGCTGCACCCCAGACTGTGCTGATCTCCGGCTGCTCATCAGGAATTGGTCTGGAACTTGCAGTGCAGCTGGCCCATGACCCCAAGAAGCGTTACCAGGGTAAGAGGTGCAGGGCGGCGCTAGGAGGCAGCAGGGTGGAAACGGCTTCCCCAGCACTGTCTCCCCTACCCATCTCTCCCAGCTGCACTTGTGGGCTTGGGGAGAACTCAGGATGCATGCCGTCTTCCTCTCCCTCCAGGAATCATCCCCTCATCCTACAAATATTTCTTGAGCACCTTCTGGGTGTTCGGAATGCTGGCAACACAACTGGGGATGAAACAGACAAAAATCTCAGACCTCAGGATGGTGTCATGCGGGGAGGAGAGGGAGAACGGGCGATAAACAGATAAAAAGAAATTGTTGCTATATCTGGTGGGAATAAGTGCTGAGAAACAAAATAAAGCATGCTGAGAGTGGCAGGGGGTGGGTGGGTGATATTTTTAGAAGGGTTTCACTAGGGCATTTCCTAGATTGGAATAATCACTACCCTGATGCTCACTCCTCCACAGTCTCCCCAGATTACTGCTTTTACTGAGATAAGCTTCTTAAGTGCTCCTGACCTTGGGGGTTGAAGGGATGGCCTTCTAGTTCTAAGAACTTGCCTTTCTGCAGCTCTAGAATAAATCCCTGGAACCTGCATCCTAACCAACCAGGAGAACCCCTGACCCAGAGGGTACATGCTGGAGCCAAAGTGGGCAAAGGGTTGTTACTTACAAGGAGGCGACTGGGGGTGAGGGCATTGCCCCAGTTGGCAGGGGTGCTTCTCCCAGCCCTCTGCTCTCTGTTTTAGAGACACATACAGCTTTGAGCATGAGAGCCTGAACGCCAGTGTGCAGGGAATAACGTGCGTTCCTGTGGGCGGGCAGATGGGTGTATTAAACTGCTGGAGGCTAATGTTTACGGAGCTTTTACAATGTACCACGCTGCATTCTAAGTGCCCTGAATCCAGGAAGTCGTTTAATCCTCACATCACACCTGTGAGGCAGGCACTATCATCCACCCCATTTTATTATTATTTTATTATTTATTTATTTTGAGTCAGAGTCTTGCTCTGTCGCCCAGGTTGAGTGCAGCGGCGCATCTTGGCTCACTGCAGCCGCCACCTCCCACATTCAACTCATGCCTCAGTCTCCTGAGTTTCTGGGATTAAGGCATGCACCACCACACCCGGCTAATGTTTTGTATTTTTAATAGATGAGATTTCACCATGTTGGCCAGACTGGTCTCGAACTCCTGGCCTCAGGTGATCTGCCCACCTGGGCCTCCCAAAGTGCTGGGATTACAGGCATGAGCCACTGTGCCTGGCCTGCCTCATTTTAGAAATGAGGAAACGAAGATGCAGACTGTCAAAGGTCTTTGCTCAAGGTCTCCCAGCTGCAAAGTGGCAGAGCTGGGATTTGAACTCAGGCATCCCATCCCTTGCACCCATGTTTCC